TACAATCCGACAATACTCAATAATACAGGGTACCAAAATCGTACGGCATGTCTTACGAAAAGACTGACATCTGTTTAAATACTCACAATGTCAGAAATACAGTCGTCCATCAGATAATATAAATGAAAACTGATTTTGGAAAGTGCGATGAATACTGCCAAATTTCTTTCAGTGACAGTGTGAGTTAGTCAGGAAAATGTTGTAACGTGCCACAACTAGCCTAACTTTTCTAATACATCGCCCGTCATTACTGATTCAGAGTATTGTTGAGTTTTTTACACTCACTTGTCTGGTACAACGTTGTGTGACCAATTCTTAGAGTGATACAAAAAATAAGAAAAAGCAATGCAAGTAAAATTTTCAATATTTGTCTAGCTTCTTGATAGTGAATTGTGCACGATAAGATGCATTCAAAACATGGAGAAGATAATAAACCCGACATTATTTTGCTACCTATGCTTATCTAAAAGTCAACCAACGTTACAGATAGACATCAAAACACTTTTATATCATATTCACTGACGTTTTATGCCAACTGCAACTTTGCTGAAAGAATTTTTTACTGATGACGAATTTCACCGAATGAATTGATAAGCGAAACCTACTAAATCCAACAAATAACGCTCGTCCGCATGATTCGCTTGACTCTCGACTGAATGATAAGCTGCTTTCTGACTTAATTAGCTACTTCACTAAATAGTTTCAACCGTACTAAAATAAAACTTCAAGAACAGCCAACCATAACTATGAAAATTCATATCCAGCCGGCGTTTTTGAACCGAGTACTATATAGAATATTTTCAGCTGATTTTTTGTGAATTCGTTTGGCTTCATTGCTTCTTTCGCATCGAACTGAACTTGCCATGGAACGCTTACGTTAATGTCAAGATTTCTAGGAGATTATTATAAGTTTTTAGAAGCAAAGAAAATATACTCAGCCGAAAAAATAAAATATGAATACCATAAAGCAGAGAAAAAAATAGAGTATTTAAAAGAAGGTAATAATATTTGGAGGTAGTGGGTGTGGGGTGTGGGTGTGGGTGTAGGTGTGGGTGTGGGTGTGGATGTGTGGGTGTTGGTGTTGGTGTTGGTGTTAGTAGAGGAGCATACTCACGCCCACATCCACACCCCACACCCACACCCACACCCACACCCACACCCACACCCACACCCACACTCATCACCCTTTTTCATGATATATCAACTATTAATAGAGAGTTCATTAAGTTTTTTCGGAAAGCTATCGATATCTAAGCAAAATGTTTTCTGGTCGATCGATATTCGTGACAGCCCCTTTGTCCAATACAATGATTCGATCATTGTTCGCCACGGAACTGAGTCGATGAGCAATAGTTATAATTGTCCGATCGTCAAATATTTCATTAATAATACTTTGAATGAGTTTCTCTGTTTCGTGATCTACGTTTGCAGTTGCCTCATCAATTAATACAATCTTGCTTTGTTTAAGTAAAGCTCGTGCAATACAAATCAATTGGCATTGACCGGCACTAAAATTACTACCCGATTCGGCAACAGAAAGGAGTAAACCAGATGGGTGATCTGCTATTATCTTCTTAAGCTGAACATTGTCCAGTGCTTTCCAACATTGTTCGTCGGTGTATTGATTGTACGGATCAAGGTTATCTCGTAGAGTGCCGGTGAACAGTACTGAATGCTGGGGAATAATACTGATATGAGAGCGAAGTTCTCGAAGTTTGACACGGCTGATATCAATCCCATCAATAATGATAGCACCTTTAATATTTGATTGAGCAATTAAACGTAGGAGACCTCGGAAAATAGATGATTTTCCAGAACCTAAATACGATGATACAAATTTCTATTAATAAGCTTTCATGGAAGGATTGTTCAAAAAATCAAAGTTGGAAATTCCCACTATCTCTAAAAATTGCCATACGACTACTAAAATTTCCTTTGGAGAACCGGAAGCTAACGCCTGAACAGCCGGTAATTCCACATCGACTTTACAGTACCTACAGCAAGCAACGATAATATCTAAGGAAGAGTTTTACTAACGGTTCCTGTATGTTTCTTCGATTAACCAAGCGAAAAGAAACTGACGAAAGTATTTACGGCTAACACTAAGATTCTAATCGATCATGCGGATTTCCATTACATACATTACTGAGACAACACTCCCTAACAAAAGAGAGAATTCTGCTGATAATATTCTTCATACCACTTCACTACATTCGGCGTACCTAACCATACTTCTTTGAATAGCTGAGGTACTATCATTGAAGTCTTATAACTGGCAGCGATCTACCTCGGAATGCACTGATTATATGTATGATATCTCAATTTCTTCGAAAACTATAGTTGGGTCGTTTAAAGAGAGTGAAAGGAGACAGAGGTATCGTCAGAAGTATTGTCTCAGTTTCTCAATTCCTCAATTCCTCAAGAAAGTCATATTGGATGGAGAGACTATTGTATCGTCTCAGTTATATGGAGTTGCCTGTTTGAAGGAATAGAAATCGTGGTCGCTCTTTCATCACCTTTTTGTTGGAATTGTTGGCCGATGAATATCTTCAAGAAAATGATGAAATATTAAGAAACTGTGGATCAAAAGCAGTTGGGAACCTTTGTTGTATTTTTTATCATGTAGGATGTCGAACTAGAATAAATGTTTATGTAGTTAACAGTGATGCACTGTTGCTTCCGTGGTTCCTTGAAGGGCATTTTAGTTTCTAAGGATAATCTCTCATTCATTGGTTATTTTATTTTTCTTTTTCTAAACACTCCTGACTATTTAGGTTCGGATTACACGGCGTCACGGACAACTGGAGATTATCCTCTCTTCGCCTCATGGCGAATTGTTACAAAATAGGATCCATCTTGATGTTGAGCTTAAATTACTCCATCGTGTTTCTCATTTCAGCCCCAAGCATTACGCTGAAATCTTTGTTCAGCATGATGGTCAAAAATTTGCTCTTTTTATGTTGTCAAAAAGTGAGTACACTCTATAATCGGTCAATGTCTCCGTCCGGCCGGCCATTTTCACGATAAATTTTGAAAGGAGAGTCAGATCATGATGAAAATTTCTACAGTTTAGGCTCAATAATATCTCAGTCGAGTTCGAAGATGAGAATGATTGACCGAGCCATTGCTGAGTTATTGTAAACATAGTCATTATTCTCTATGCTTTCCTATCAGAAGATCGACCTATCCACGCTTTCGTAAAAAAATTTTATCTACCATTCGATAGAGAATTTCATGAGCTACAAAATGATATATAAAACATTAAAAAAAAGAAGGCTAACTCACATATTACAAAGATAGTTCACGAAAATTGGTTCTATTTTTGTTCACGCTCTAGTTGATCCACAAATAGAGTTCTATTTTTCGATCACAGAGCTGATAGTTCGAGGTTTTCTGGCGCAGAAAACTCGAATCTGGACTCCACATATCTCCAAATCCTGTTGGTTGAGCTGTAGCCAATGGAAATCAAATGTTTTATAGAAAAGGTTTGCAAGGATAATTTTTATGCCCTCACATTCTAGGATGACTCATCTGTCTCGTTCACTTTTTGAAGTGCACATAACTCTTGGATTTAAATCCGAGGTTTTCGCGTTTACTTTTTGTATGTCCTAGGTGATGCTCTTAAAACTATGATTTAAAAAATTTAAAGCACGGTGTATAAAATCAATTCCGCAACCTCTATTGAACTGTGTGTAACTCAAATCGATCACATTTGTTCTGCTCAGTTTCTAAGTTTTCCGTACCTTACATGTGAAGTTGAGGTATTCTGTGCAAAAAGAAGATCTGAATGATCATTCAGTAGAAGAAATTCTATTGTAGATATATGGCTCAAGAGGGATTTTTTCAAAGTGATTGTAGGTTCTACATCTTCGTTTTCGAGTCTCACGAAACTGAGAAATACACATTCGGTTTTTAATCAAATTAAAGACTAGACTGCTTGAAGATCAAAAGAATTGTTATGTTGTATATATATTCCAAGTATGGAAAATATACAGCATAACAAATCAAACTACTGGTATTTAGACAAGATTTCTCTTTGACTTGGAATGTACCTGTTCGACCGATGATACCGATTTTTTCACCAGGTGCAATGTATATGTTTATATTTTTTAGTATCAGATCAAGTCCAGATCGATAACGTAATGAATAGTGGCGATATTCAATTGCTCCACAAGACGGCCAATTTGATGGTATCTCAATCAAAACTTGTTTGTCACTTGTATCATCTTCTCGTGGTAGTCGCGCATATGCATCAATGCGTTCAGTACTTGTCATCAAAAGGGCAGCTTCAACCAATTGTTGGACACCAATCGGTAGTCTTTTCATGCTATATAGCAAAGCCAATGCTACTAGATGTCGATTGATTTTGTCACGTAAAATAATGGATATCACCGCTATAAAGCACGTAACCAACGATGTCAAAAGATCGAGTCGAATGCCTAACCAACAGCTACCAGCCTTCATACTAATGTATGCACGAGTGTTAGTGTCCATTTTATTTTCAAACTGTTGAATGAAATAATCTTGAAGCTTAAATGCACGTATGGTTGATAAGCCACTGAACGAGGATACGAAAAGATTATAGGTCGGACTGCGAGATACACTTTCGAGTCGTATGAGTTCACAAATCGATCTCCAATAGAATCGACAAATAATCCACACTACCAACGCCAATGGTATTTGTAAAAGCAAAGTCAACGGTTGAGTAAAGCCAGTGATAATCACCGCACCAGCTATTATGAGTACAGATTGAATGGCATCAAAAACAGCTGCGGGTAGTATTTCATCGATGACTTGTTGATCTTTGCTGACTCGATTGAGAATTCTACCAGGTGGATTGCTCTCGAAAAATTCCAATGATGTATGTAAAATTCCAGTACACATGCCTTGATGTAGTCTATTTGACTGCTTCAACATAAAAGAAGAGAAGTAGAAAGCTCGTATAATACTAAACATAAATGCGCCCAAAGATAGGGCAACATAAATGTAAAATTTTACTGTTATATACGATCGATGAAAATAAGAAGATGTTGACCAAGTCGTAAGCCAATAAGTGCTAACCTCAAAAAAGAATTGACCGATAACGAGAAGAAGAATTAGTAGAAATAACTCGAAATAATCTCGAAGTGATGCAATAAAGAATGAACGCCATGTAGACCAACTAACTGTATTACTTCCTAAGTCTTCTTCAGAAAGAATCTTTTCACTATTCATGTTTATTTGTTCTATTTCGAGCATACTCGGCGATACATCATCCATTATAAGCTGATCATCATTAGTTTGATAGATATCTCGGTTTTCCAATGGTAAGTCGGTAACACGTCCTTGTGCAACAATGCGGCCATTTTTCAGAAGAATTGTTTGATGTGATTCTGCTAAAAATTCTATTTGATGAGTTATCAAAAGTCGAGTTTTTTTGCTTAAGAGACCATTTGGACCAATACATTGGTCATAGATTAGTCGAGCTACTTTACGATCAACAGCAGCTAATGGATCATCAAGAAGATAAATATCAGCATCGGTATATAATGCTCGAGCGAGTGATATACGCGCCTTTTGTCCACCACTCAAATTAATACCTCTGTCGCCGATCATTATCAAGTCACCATTAGGTCCAAAAGCATCAATATCTATATCGAGACAACATGCATGTATTACACTCGAATAACGTTCTTTATCAAATGTTTTTCCTAGAATAATATTCGCACGAAGAGTATCAGCAATTATCCATGGAATTTGTGTACTATATGATAATGAGCTTGTATTTACTTCTAGTTCACCATCAATCAAGTTTAATTCACCTAATATGGCTTTTAGTAGAGATGATTTTCCAGCTGCAACCGGTCCAACGATGCCCACAAATGTGTCGGGCTCAATAATAATATTGAGCGAAGACAGACACATATTACTGTCGTTCCATGAGAAGGATGCATTACGTAATTCAATTAAATTTTTCGATTGTGGCTTGTCTGAGAATGGAGTTAACAGTGTTCGGCATTGTATCGTCTTCAAGTTCATAAATTCATCGATTCGCTTCATCGCTATTTTTAAACCGCTTAGTTTTTCGATAAACCGTGGTAAATAACAAGTTATCGGCGTCCGTATTTGAGTATAACATGTGAGAGCTGTAAAAATATCACTTATTAATATTTGTTTACCCGTGAGCCGAGCACTAAGAAGTAGGCTCAAAATCATGAACAGTACAAATGTGAAGAATAATCCCGTATTTATTGCACGCAACCATGCGGCTCGACGGATGTTGTCAGATTCACATTGGCGTAGCTTTATTATGCGTTCTTCCATGGGTTTTTCCCAATTATACGCTTTGATAACATAAGATCCATGAATGATTTCGTGAAAAGCTTGAATACGTCTGTCCGAATATTCTGCGACCCTTGAACGCCATTGAGTGAATCCTTGACTGAATAGCATTTGGAGAGAAACGAAACAAAACACTACTACGTAGCTGATGAAAGTCAGAGCTGGTCCTAACAGCCAGGAAAGAAAAGCAAAATAGATCATGGCCTCGAGTGGTACTGCCCATATATAATGCATTTGAATGATGAATTCTTCGAAATTTGTAGTGTCACGAGCAATCAAATTGATTGTTTGAGCCGTACTAGCCTGTTGAAGTGAAACAAGATTCACTGATAAAAGATGCTTATAGATCACTGATGTTAATGCTATACGAATGTTCATACCCAATCGAAGTGATCGAAATAGATATTGATATTGAATCCAAATTTCAATAATGAGAGAAGATGAGAATATCAGAGCATAAATATATCCGGTTCTAGTCGACAATGATGGATTTTCATAATTAACATAATTGATAATTTGACGAAAAAAAAATGTTTGTAATACTTTAAAAGCTATGGAAAGAAATAAAAGAAGTCCGACAACTAAAGATGGTTTCCAGAATATTAATGTGAGAATCTTCCATGTTGGTTTCTTTGACCAATCAGACGGTTTGACTACATTTGATAAAGAAGAACATTTGTCGACATTTGCTAAATCATCGAAATCATCATCAGTCAATATTTTCTTATAACCCAACGAGAACAGAGCATTCAACCAGGAGAACGATAAAAAATACACAAATCTAATCCATGATGCTTGTGCCCATTCAAGACGTGATGGTTGACGCTTTTTATGATCACTGTCAATGTCGAAGTTTTTCTTTATTATGAGCAATGGCTCGTTTTCATTGTTAAGATATTCGCTTTGATCCATAAAATTAATATGAAGTTTAATACAGAGACTGCGTAATCTGGAAAAAAGAGTACAACTACCTATACAGCATATATAGAAAATTTTAAATTATAAGTCTATCTCTACATTTTTTGCGCGATTCCATCTTACATCGTCAGACTTCCAGCAATCTTCAGATTTTCAAAAAGAAAAATGTGAAAGTTTCGAAAATTCCATATGTTGATTCTTCAAAATTTCCACAATTTCCTTCATTTCTAAAATGACAAGGGAATGTCTGTTGCTGAACTGGTTCTGTTCAGAAAACCAATCAGTTCATATCCTTAGGTGTTCTTTTACATTAATAGTTGACATCGCATATAAGTGTCAACCTTATTTCTCATAATTGGATGTGGCGAAATAGTTTCACTTCCGCTTGCAATCTTGATGAGAGCGGAATCAGAATCAAAACTTTTTCTAAGCGGAACAGTATTCGAACAAAGACCGTAAGGTACTGATTCTGCTTTAATCGTTCCGTGTGCATTTAGTAATGGAAAAACGTTTGTATCTAGAAAAAGTTACACTTTTTATGAGATGTCGTATTTTAATCTGAAAGTGAAATAAATACTTTTAAAGAAAAATTTCGTGAGATGAAGAAAGAAAATCTAATCCGCGTTTTCGACAGAATTAACGTGTTGTGATTGAAGTCTTCGGAATTTGCAGTCTGAATAAGAGCTAACAGATGAATTAAAACTTATCGCAGTCCACTATTAACGCAAAAAAATTAATAGAATAATGCGCATTTTTGTGTCTTTTTTAAATATTTCGGCCGTTCGACTGAAAAAACAATGTTGAAAAGTTTGGACACTCTAAGAAGCTGGAAGAATTGGTAAAATACGTGAAACTACGTGGGAATATAACAAAACATGGGAATTGTTTGTATAATATGTAATGAACTCAAAGTTAAGCTAGAGACGAATCTACTTTTTCTTCTTGACTGTGGTCGACAAGCATTGCCACGAGTCTGCGCATATAAGTGGATACCCACCTTGAATACTTTGCCCAGCTGACGAAAATATAATTTTCTTTTTAAATTTGTATTTTAGAGCAAAATCTGCTTACTGAAGTGGATTTTTATTTGTCAGTGACCTATTCAATTTTTGTCAGAGATGACCTTCAACTTGAGCTGAAGTGAATCTAAATAAACATTGAAATGTTTTATTTTTAGTAGAACTATGCTCATATGTACAGTTGATGTTAAAATCTCGACTATTCTCCCTCTTTTCCTAGTAGCATCAATGATGATTGCATACAAATGACACAATTTACCATTTTACTAATGACAGAGACATCCTATTTCCTTTTTGTCTTCTATCACTTGTTGTTAACTTGTCATAAGCGGGGACAGTACAGATAAATGTTTGACATAACACAACGGGCAGTACGCTGTATATACTTGGGATACATACGATGTTCTATACATAACGATAAGTAAACGATCGTGTCATGCGCAGGCGAATAGATGTACTTGGTCTGTGTAGTCACAGGCAATTCAGTATGTGCAGAGGTATGCAAAAACAATTAAATTTTCATTTTCTACCAAGTGCATATTATGCATATCCATGTATTTAATATTCTTTTTGTAGCTCGTCACGACTTACGATGCAGCCTATAGTTTCAATCACTGCTTTCCATTACTTTTCAAGTTCCTATCTCTTAATTTGTTTTTCTTACGTCGTCTCGTATCACGACGTAATAGGTTGTCAGCACCATATTGATACGGTAATCCAATCATTGAAGAAAACAAGAAAAAAAGAAAATAATCAGTGTTGGACTATTCGTTCTCTTCGTCATCAAACGAAAGTGTACGCTATCTTGAGAAAGCACACGCTACGAATATTTTGCTTATATTAATTGTACCAGACAGAGTCGTTTTTTCATGGAAACTTATCTTCATTAGAAGGAATAAATATAAAATGACTTGTGAACTTTTATAATAACATTTCCATTTAGATTACTACAATATCATTCTCTCGTTTCGGTACGCGATTGTGCCATGATGAAATTGACTTATCTTGTGCTTCTCCTAGCTACTGTGTCGTCTATCAAGAGAGGAATAGCAGCAATTTATAAAGAACATGGTGGCGACTTCGTATTTGCCACAATGTCAAAACCTGACAACCCTGGAATGATATACGATGTAATGGCAAGGACGAAAAGAGCAATCAGGACAATATGGACTAAAAGGATATAACAGATAATAAGAAAGCAGAGGGCAATAAGGACTAAAAGATTAAAAATACAGAATAGACAATAGGCACAAAGAGAATCATAAGAGCTAGAAGGACAACATGAATATGATAAACACCGGTAGTTGTGAAAACTTAGCCAAAAGAACTTTGGGAAACTTCCGAGGAAATCTTCAAGTACAGACAAACATATGCAGTTCGAACCGAAGCTGCTTGCTATTACGTCGTCCAATTTCCTACCATTTCTAGTGATTCATCAGCATTTTATGAAGCAGGCTATTTCAGTGGAATTATTTTCGAGCGCACTCTCATCCTGCTCCTTCCCTTCGCCCATACGCACAGGCTTATTATTAGATCTTTTAGTTCCTTTCGGCTTAACATAGGGTGTGGGTGTACCACATGTGAAGACAATACATACCCAGATCGAAACTCCACAACCACATCCACACCCACATTCGCACCCACACCCTAGTTTGATCAGGATTCTGCGTAGAACTGCTGAAGAACAGACATTTCGAACTCTTGAATAATACATCATGGTTAGAATCTTGATCGAAAAATACTAGGAACCAGTTCACATCTTCCCAGGTTTATGTTTAGAGACTATTCACAATTTAATTATCAAGACTCTATCCGGAACCTAGCAAGAATAAATGAAACGGGTCCCGCACGTTCATAGCTAGAGTCAGGTTAGGATCCATCCATGATTTAATAGCCTGTAGAATGCTATGGAGTTTCAACACCGATGTTGAACGAAATCTTAACAGCAATAAAAAGAAACACTTTTCAAAATCTCATTATATTTTTGTTCGAACTAAAACAAAGGATGGGGACATTTTGCGTTGTCATAGGCCCCCATAGAAAACAAAAGCAGTTTTTCATGAAACTTTCAGCAATTGTAGCTTCCGAAGTCAGTAGTCACTCCTATAAATTTCAGTTTGATCGGTTAATCTTTTGCCTTATTTTGCTGACTCGGCAGATAAATTCTTAAGTAACCTACATTAGCGACCTTGTGTACCTTCGTTCTCTACTATATGATTCAGAACCAGAATCAGTTTTTCAAGATGAATATCAAATATTAAGAGCTTCAAAAGTGCCCAAACGAGTACCTGCAATAAACCTGCCTTCATTGTTTTATGAATCGCATACCACCCCGAACATACCTTATAATAGCATATAGAGAATTTTGTGCAACTGCGTTCTCCACTATACGATTCAGAATCAGAGTCATTTTTTCACGATCAATATTAATTATTAAGAGCTTCAAAAGTACTCGAACAAGTGCCTACAACAAATCTGCCTTCAATGTTTTATGAATCACATCTCACCCAGAATATACGTTACAATACCATAGAGAGAAGCTTGTGTACCTTCGACCTCCACTATATGATTCAGAACCAGAGTCATCTTTTCAGGATTAATATTAATTGTCAAGAGCTTCAAAGATACCCGCACAAGTGTCTAGAA